CTGCAGACCCCACCCACCCAGGCAACAGTCTGTTTGTGCCTCTTCCCTCCAGGAAAAGGTACAGGAATATAAAGACTAAAACAAACAAACTGAGACACAGCTTCTTATCCAGAGCTGTGTCTCAGTTTGTGCCCCCCCAAACCCCTAGTCACACACACAACCTCCCCCTATGGACAGACACAGAGCACTGGACCTCACACCTCTTCCTAAACACTGAGATTTGCACTGAGTTGCACCTTATAATGTTACTACACTCTTGCTGCTAACACGCTGCTGACCTGATTAGGTCCCATACATCCCTTTTTATTTGTTCATATTTTTATATTGACTTATACAATTGTGTGTTATGTAAATAATACGTCTGTCTTTAAGCCGAGAGCTGCCAGAAAAAATTTTTGTTGTGCTATGCATAATGACAATAAAGATTCTTGACTTGACTTGACTTGACTTAAAGTTGCCGAGGTGGTTAAGGAACTCTTCTGTGGCAAGGCTCTGGGGATGGATGAGGTCTGCCTCGAGTTTCTCAAGTCTGTGGATGTTGTGGGGCTGTCTTGGCTGTCACAGAACACTGTGGTGACAACAAAAACATGAACAAAGATATGAATAAAAAAACAAAAAGTTGAGAGCCCTGAGCTGCTGCATGCATACACGTCATGTTGCCATGGACAGAATTTCTAGGCACAGCCAGAGAACGGAGGGTGTCTGTCTTGGTGGCTGCAGAATTTCATCTCTTGCGGATGATGTAGTTCTTTTGGCTTCATCAGTTCAAGATCTACAGCGAACACTGTGGTGACAACAAAAACATGAACAAAGATATGAATAAAAAAACGAAAAGTTGAGAGCCCTGAGCTGCTACATGCATACACGTCATGTTGCCATGGACAGAATTTCTAGGCGCAGCCAGAGAATGGAGGGTGTCTGTCTTGGTGGCTGCAGAATTTCATCTCTTGCGGATGATGTAGTTCTTTTGGCTTCATCAGTTCAAGATCTACAGCGTGCACTGGAGGGGTTTGCAGCCGAGTGTGAAGCGGTGGGAATGAGAATTAGCACCTCCAAATCCGAGACCATGGTTCTCAACTGGAAAAAGGTGGATTGCCCTCTCCAGGTTGGGGGTGAGTTGCTCCCTCAAGTGGAAGAGTTTAAGTATCTCAGGGTCTTGTTCATGAGTGAGGGAAAAATGGAGCGGCAGGTTGACACACAGATCAGTGTGGCGTCCACAGTAATGTGTTCTCTGTACCGGTCCGTTGAAAGAATGAGATGGCGGATACAAGCGGCAGAAATGAGTTTCCTCCGGAGAGTGGCTGGGCCCACCCTTAGTGATAGGGTGAAGAGCTCAGTCACCCGTGAGGAGCTCGGAGTAGAGCCGCTGCTCCTCCACGTTGAGTGGAACCAGTTGGGGTGGCTTGGGCACCTGTTTAGGAGGCCCCCTGGATGCCTCCCTGGGAAGGTATTCTGGGCATGTCCCTCTGGGAGAAGGCCTTGGGGCAGACCCAGGACATGCTGGCGAGACTATGTCTCCCGGCTGGCCTGGGATCACCTTGGGGTACCTCCTGAGGAGCTAGAGGAGGTGTGTGGGGAGAGGGAAGTCTGGGGGGCTCTGCTCGGACTACTGCCCCCACGACCCGGTCTCAGATAAAGCAGACGAAGATGGATGGATGGATAATAATAATAATAATAGTTGTTTTAAGGGTTTATTAGTATTGTACTTAACAAAAGCAGTGAACACAGAGCACTTGACAAGATATAGTTCACCTACAATATTCTTAGTGACTATATTTTTGAAATGATACATGCATTAAAAAAAATGACTTTTACACATATTAGCGCTATTGAAATTCAGGAAGAGCACATGTGCTGGAGATGATGCTGCTCCATACCCCAGGAGTGTGAAGTACTACCATAATCTGATTAATGTCTAGCTAATCAGGCAGTGCACATGAACACTTGGAGACTGATCTGATTTTCATGGCAGCAGTCTTGAGAGAGTTCGAGCCCTTCCATGCTTGCCAAATAACATGGGAGTTTTCAAATGCGATGGCACCATGAGGTGCATACATGCCGTTGAGGTTAACGTAATGGCAATTGCTATACCAGAATCCAACAGTCTTGAGGGAGTAGTTCCAGCCCTTCCATGCATACCAAATAACATGGGAGTTTTCAAATGCGATGGCACCATGAGGTGCATACATGCCGTTGAGGTTAACGTAATGGCAATTGCTATACCAGAATCCACCAAGATAACTGTGAGCGCAGTTTTTTCCCCATATGTCCTGGTCTTTGTCAAAGGTGGTGAACTTCATGGAGTTGTGAGCTGTCAAAGAGTCCCCTAGGAAGACAATGTTAGGAGACTTGTTTATATTTGCTGATCACACAGGGCTTTGACTGTGCTACAACTATGCCATGGTAAATTAATGGACCATAGGAGTGGAACTGCATATTTAGGCCAAACCACTACTATCTGTTTACACCTTCCATTAGGTGCAGTCGTCATCTCCCAAATCATGCAAATAACTTGTGCAATATTTTACAGGATTGAATTAACACAGCCAACTTAAAATTCAGTGCTCAGGATACTAGAGCACACATTTACATTTACAACTCTGTCATGGTAATAAGAATTTTGGTGGTGAAGGTACTAATTTCCAAGGTGAAACTCTACCTATGAAGGTTTTGATGAGACAGACTAATCCATGAAATACTGTTTTTCTGACCAAAGCAAGCTTGTTAGGAGGAATGAACGTCATCATCTTTATTGTTCACTTACATGAGTGCTCACATGAAGGTTCATCCACTGCACCACTGCTTATGTTCCTCATCATGAAGTTCACCCTATAACATTTTCTTGTCAAAGCATTGCTACTTTGAAAAATCACTTCTTTCGAACTACTTTTTGTCTGCTAATTAGAATCTGCAAGGTGATTTTGGTGGTACTAAAATGAGCCAAAAATAAAAATGAAATATAAAATTTAGCCCCCCTCCCCACCCTAAAGCTCTTTTCAAACTAAGAGCGATGAGGATAAATTCTAAAAAATATCGATTTGTTCGGAGGCTACTTAAATGCACCACATATATTCACACCAAATGCAGAATGAATATGGAATGTGAAGTTCTACAAGTCGCGCTACAAATGTCCACATCAAACGACGATGACCTGCAGGTGCTGGCTCTGCTAAATACAAGTTCATCTTATACTGATGCCAAAAAAAGAAATGCGGCTTTTCACTCAGCATATCCCGTCGTTGATGTGCAAAGGTTCACTGGCAGAATATTGGTTTGAAAATTATTCCTGATGTGTGAGTAAACGCAGGAAAAATTCTCCTCCATTGTGAAAAAACCTTAATAATTGTCATATAGTCCCTGACCTGCTGAATCCTGCACTTTATCAATCCCGAAGATAAAGAAATAACTGGGATATCCAGGCATACTGTTTCATTAATGAGCAAATGATTTTGGGAAACACATTTTTCCCACTGAGGGAGTGGTAATGTTTTTCTCTTTATTAATGTGACTAGAACTATTTTTGTCTCTGGAGCCACATTTTCACTTAAACCACAAAAATCAATATTTGCTGCCATTATGGTTTTCTAGACTGTTAGTCCACAGTATTACCTTCAGCCTCGAAATATTAAGACAAGACCACACTGGGCAAAGGGCCTATTTTGATATTCCACTGGCTCATGTTGGCTGTGTAAAAGTAATGAAGGAAAAAAAACATGGACTGATTACAAAGACTCTCCCTTTTGCATTGAAAATCAAACCCAAACTTAGGATTCGCACAATGATATTCACCTGCTGTTCCTCCAGTGAAGCTGCCCAGGTTAAGCTTATAGCCAACAGCCTCAGGGTCGATTGAGAAGGAGGAGTAGTGGGCGTAGGCCTGCCCCTTATCCCAGTCCTCCATGTCCACCCTCAGCTCATTCTTCTTCCTCGCAGTCAGCAGGAAAAGGTTTTCCAGGCCTGAAATGACACAAAAAGCCATGTTTAATGTCACCTCCTGTACCAAGGCCCTATAATATTTTTTGACTACTGTATTTCTTTAACCACTTTTCCAGTGAACTGTCTCAACTTTTATTTGGTCTGAAATCACTAGCCTCACCTTGTACTGTTTTTATACAGTAGAATTAGGATGGAAAGGCTCCAGTAGGGGAGCATTTTAAATCAAAATGATGCATTTACTGGTCATTTGAGTCACCAGAAACAAGTTATGAAAACAACACTGACTTGCCTTTTAAGTTGATATAATGAGCAGGTTAGCAAACAGGTATATATTCACACATCCAGAAGATACCAAGGAACCCGGTCTTTCATTTGGAGTCATGTTTCTTGGTTACATAGAACCCACCGTTTTTTTTTTAGCTCTGTTTTGGTCCCTATCGACTCTTGAGGAACAAGTGCCCTTTAGCTGCTAGATGCTGCACTGTGTTCACCAGCTATCGCCTCTAACTGTGTCTGTCTGCTGTTCTTTGCTGTGTAGACAGTTTACAGTGGATATTTAGGATTTTTTGCTCAGTGAGTTCAGTGAGAGCATAAGTATTTCCTTCTGAAACTCACCAAGCCAATATTCTCCAGCTACATTCCCAAATCCATTCTTGTAGTGCTTCCAGGGTCTGTAGAAGTTTTCAGTCCCATCCATCCTCCTCTGAAACACCTGAGGGGGAGAAAAAGAAAGTCTGCTAAAATGTCAAATGTGTACATTCCATTAGCAAGACTTCAGATAGCTTAAAAATTCTTAAATAACAATTCAGAAAATCATATAGGCTCTTTATAAGTGTCTGTTAATCAGCTTTATCTTCAACAACAAGAAGAGGCCTTCACTACACACACAAATAATTATCATTTATCTTGAGTCATGTTTCTGGTCATGTGACTGAATAATCACTCCTTTAAGCTCTGTTTTTGGTCTCCACCAACTCCAAAACATCTGGCTCTTAAACTGCTAAATTCATAATCTAGTTGCTAACACGGTCTGATGTTTTTCTGATGAAAATGATGATTGGTAAGACTTTGAAAACCAAAATAATGAGCTACAATGCATCTTAGATCTAAGGGGAAGTGAAAAGTCGGGTGACAATTCACAGCCTGTTCAAGTCTCAAATGAAATCTGTGAGGAGTCAAGTCTCAAATAAGTCACATTGCCCCCCTTTTTGTTTGTATTGTAAACATTCCAGTGCCAGTCTCTGGGCATTTTACTGACAGATGGCGGTGGTAATGCGCAAAGTAACATTAATATTTCAAGAAAGAAAAAGACTGCAAACTAGCAAATGGGTGAAAACATGATTTGAAACAATTTTAAAATGGCTTTTTCAAAACAAGGTCTAAAAAAGGCACAGGTGTTTTTCATAACAGATGAGGTGTACTCACAGTCCATCTCCCTCCGTCAGTGTCCATGTCACAGTAGACACGAAGGGGTGTGGTAGGACCTCCGGGATAGATGGTGTACACCCCACTGGAACTGGTGTTATCATGGCGATAGATGTCCTCACAGTCGATGGGCAGGTAAAACTGGGAGCCACAGTGGGCCGAGGTCACAAGAACCAGCAGAGCTACAAACAATGTTCCCTGGAAATAAATGTAAACAGAATAACACTGTCTAAAGCACCTTCTACAGTGTTTACCTGCACTCTTCTTAGATACAGTATCACTCATAAAATGTTCATCAGCTGCCCTTTTCTCTTCTCTAAAATCAATGCTTTGATGAAGCTCTTCTGACTCACTGGTGAAAGGGAAGTGGTTGTGCCAGTAAAGGACAACAGCTCTTAAAAGCTGGGCCACCCCGAGATCTGCAGCACTCTGTAATCTCTCTCGTCTTTATTAAACCAATCGAGCAGAAACAGAGTTCAGACTACTGCTGCTGTGGGACCTATTTACAAGTAATTACAAAAAAGATTGCCTTGTTTTTTTGTGAATTGCTTAAAAATGGCTGTTCACCCAAAATTTCAAATGAGGTATCTCTGTGGTTAAGGCCACTCAGCATAATTGAAAAAAAATGTTTGTATAATGTCTTCTGAGTAAACCGTGTTTGTATAATGTTCACCACCAGGTGGTGATCAGTTGACAGCTCCGCCCCTCTCTTCACCCGAGTGTCCAAGACATACGGCCGGAGGTCAGATGAAACGACCACAAAGTCGATCATCGACCTCCGGCCTAGGGTGTCCTGGTGCCATGTGCACTGATGGACACCCTTATGCTTGAACATGGTGTTCACTGTCTCAACTTTTATTTGGTCTGAAATCACTAGCCTCACCTTGTACTGTTTTTATACAGTAGAATTAGGATGGAAAGGCTCCAGTAGGGGAGCATTTTAAATCAAAATGATGCATTTACTGGTCATTTGAGTCACCAGAAACAAGTTATGAAAACAACACTGACTTGCCTTTTAAGTTGATATAATGAGCAGGTTAGCAAACAGGTATATATTCACACATCCAGAAGATACCAAGGAACCCGGTCTTTCATTTGGAGTCGTGTTTCTTGGTTACATAGAACCCACCGTTTTTTTTTAGCTCTGTTTTGGTCCCTATCGACTCTTGAGGAACAAGTGCCCTTTAGCTGCTAGATGCTGCACTGTGTTCACCAGCTATCGCCTCTAACTGTGTCTGTCTGCTGTTCTTTGCTGTGTAGACAGTTTACAGTGGATATTTAGGATTTTTTGCTCAGTGAGTTCAGTGAGAGCATAAGTATTTCCTACTGAAACTCACCAAGCCAATATTCTCCAGCTACATTCCCAAATCCATTCTTGTAGTGCTTCCAGGGTCTGTAGAAGTTTTCAGTCCCATCCATCCTCCTCTGAAACACCTGAGGGGGAGAAAAAGAAAGTCTGCTAAAATGTCAAATGTGTACATTCCATTAGCAAGACTTCAGATAGCTTAAAAATTCTTAAATAACAATTCAGAAAATCATATAGGCTCTTTATAAGTGTCTGTTAATCAGCTTTATCTTCAACAACAAGAAGAGGCCTTCACTACACACACAAATAATTATCATTTATCTTGAGTCATGTTTCTGGTCATGTGACTGAATAATCACTCCTTTAAGCTCTGTTTTTGGTCTCCACCAACTCCAAAACATCTGGCTCTTAAACTGCTAAATTCATAATCTAGTTGCTAACACGGCCTGATGTTTTTTTGATGAAAATGATGATTGGTAAGACTTTGAAAACCAAAATAATGAGCTACAATGCATCTTAGATCTAAGGGGAAGTGAAAAGTCGGGTGACAATTCACAGCCTGTTCAAGTCAAATGAAATCTGTGAGGAGTCAAGTCTCAAATAAGTCACATTGCCCCCCTTTTTGTTTGTATTGTAAACATTCCAGTGCCAGTCTCTGGGCATTTTACTGACAGATGGCGGTGGTAATGCGCAAAGTAACATTAATATTTCAAGAAAGAAAAAGACTGCAAACTAGCAAATGGGTAAAAACAGGATCTGAAACAATTTTAAAATGGCTTTTTCAAAACAAGGTCTAAAAAAGGCACAGGTGTTTTTCATAACAGATGAGGTGTACTCACAGTCCATCTCCCTCCGTCAGTGTCCATGTCACAGTAGACACGAAGGGGTGTGGTAGGACCTCCGGGATAGATGGTGTACACCCCACTGGAACTGGTGTTATCATGGCGATAGATGTCCTCACAGTCGATGGGCAGGTAAAACTGGGAGCCACAGTGGGCCGAGGTCACAAGAACCAGCAGAGCTACAAACAATGTTCCCTGGAAATAAATGTAAACAGAATAACACTGTCTAAAGCACCTTCTACAGTGTTTACCTGCACTCTTCTTAGATACAGTATCACTCATAAAATGTTCATCAGCTGCCCTTTTCTCTTCTCTAAAATCAATGCTTTGATGAAGCTCTTCTGACTCACTGGTGAAAGGGAAGTGGTTGTGCCAGTAAAGGACAACAGCTCTTAAAAGCTGGGCCACCCCGAGATCTGCAGCACTCTGTAATCTCTCTCGTCTTTATTAAACCAATCGAGCAGAAACAGAGTTCAGACTACTGCTGCTGTGGGACCTATTTACAAGTAATTACAAAAAAGATTGCCTTGTTTTTTTGTGAATTGCTTAAAAATGGCTGTTCACCCAAAATTTCAAATGAGGTATCTCTGTGGTTAAGGCCACTCAGCATAATTGAAAAAAAATGTTTGTATAATGTCTTCTGAGTAAACCGACATGCACTAAGAGGAGTGTTTATGTGCCCAACATGTGTTTTAATGAGAAACTGATCCATTTTCACAGCTATCAACCCTGTTTCAAACGTACTGATGGTTCAAAACAAGGCTTACAATCGACAGAGCATTATCAGTACTAGGTATTGATCCACCCACCTACAGTTCAAGGGATAACCACCACCCAGTGTCCTACAGTACATGCCACACAGATTCATGCATTTTTTCCATTTTGCTGTAGCCTCATGTAAAAAGTAAAAACTACCCAGTTACAAATCTGGGTGCATGAAAAACATTAACTTCAAACATATCTGTCTCCAACTATTTAAATTTGACTGTTTCATTTAATCTGATTTCAATTCTTACTGTTTGTTGAGAGGACTAAAACCACCTGTTGATATGTAACTACAGAGTTAACACTCTGATGAACAACACAAAATATATGTATTGTAATAACAGAAGGAAATAAATTAATGATGACATATTTTAGTTATCAATTGAACATTTTATTTCATATCTTTATTGAATAATTCAAATTAAGTGGTTTAGGTCCGCTATTAGAAAAATGTTGCCTCTAGACATCAATCTATAAATAACAAATCTAGAAAATTAAGTTAATATTTTTAAGACAAAACTGAAATGCCTTTTTTTTCACAAAATAGAAAATGTAAGATGTGCTATTATTTTTATTTGCAATTCAAATTATGTTTGGAGTAGGTTTTCTAAACTTTGACTATATGCCTCTGCTTCTGTGATATTAATTCTAATACTGCAGCTAACACTAGTCGTGGCTATTCTGACAATGTACTGTTCTGTGTAATCAGAACATGATAAGTTAGAGTTAGGAGTCAGACCATTCAGCCTTGATTATTGTTATTATTTTACAGTTTTTACACACAGTGTCATTTCAAAAAAGAGAAACAATGAAAAGCATTTATAAGAGAAGCTGACATATTCACAAACAGTTTGTCATTAGGAGATGAGATTATCTGAGTGTTTTGTGTCAGTGTTAAAACTGCAGTTCTGAGTCTGGTGGAGGTCTTACCTGCATCATCTCCTTGGGGGAAGAGGTTTCACTGCTGTGTCTGTCAGGTCAGTGTGTTGAAATAACGCTTGGTAGAAAACTTGGTAACTTTAAACCATCTGCGTGCAGGGCGTGTCCTCAGGAGCATGTGATGCCTCTTTATCTCATAAACAATCTTGGGCTAACAGCAGAGTGTTGTCTGTTTGTCCACTGCAGCGAGAAATGGATAAAAGTAGACACAAATTTGCAAAACAACAAACAGAAGACACAAACCGACTACTGTACCGAGTCATCTAGTTTGTCAAGCTGTCCATAGTTGCACTGACCCATGACTTCTGTATTTGATTTCTTTGTCCATCCAGTTACTCATTAACTCAATTTAAAAAGTAATGTGAAATAACAAGCATGAGATATACCAACCTACAGCAGAGCCTATAGACCACAGTTACAAACAGCAGAAACAGGTTAATTATAACAACTGCAAAATTGTGGAAAATTCCAGTTTTACTTTAAAGCTGATGCAGCAACACTCCAGCTCCAGTGTTCAGACAAATAAAACCACAAAACTATGTAGCAATACTGTGTTTCTGTTCAATTTTAATTTGTTCCTTTCTATTGTGATGAGTCAGTTCTATTTCACCATAGTTCCTTCTATTGTAAATTGAGTTCAGGAACAGTTGCACAAACATCCCTACAGTTCCTACTCTTTTTTAGTTGTGGTATCTACTGTAAATTGTGTTCAGCAACAGTTGCACAAACATCCCTACAGTTCCTACTCTTTTTAGTTGTGGTTTGTTTTTAAATAAATCTCAAATCTTTCTGCGTTTGTGAGTCAAATTCACAAAGCCCCAGGATAAGGGCAAATGTTTTGCCAAAACACGTCAATTCAAATTGCTCAGAGTGAAAAATATAATTTCACAATAATATAATTTTGTGAACTGGAAAAGGACAGTAGATGTAAATTAGCTTTAGGCTAACGTATCAAATGGTAACATTTATGTTTAATATTGTACATGGTCTATTTTAAACATGCATTAACTAAGATTTTACACATTGTGTGATAAATCAAGCGTGGTGACTCTCAACTGTAATAACACCCTCCATGACACTTTGTGACTTACAGCCCTTCTGAGGCTAATGCAGCTTTTCTTTTTAATGTAGGGTCTGTGAATTATCCCCGCCTGCCACCCAGCACAGATTAAAAGAAAAGTTTTTCTGCAAGCATTCATTTCAAACAGCCAGCTATGGAGGAGGTCTCAACAGCTAAAAGTCTGAAATAGCGGCAGCCAGACTGAAGAGGTCATGTTCTTTTGCACAGAGAGAGTTGGACAAAGGAAGAGCAAAAACAAGGGTTAACACCTATTTGGCTTTTTGAGAGTGAGTGTTAAAAGCAGCCAAATGACTCAAATTTGATTCAGATATGATGTTCTTGCTACTGGATGTGTTAGCATCTAAAGCTAACATGTTTGTTTTAGTAAAATGGCAGCAATTACAGCATGCACCTTTCATGGCAGCAATCATTCGTGACCTAGCATGGTCATGATTTCACCTTTGCATTGAATTAGTGTCCTTTTAATTCGAGAATTCAAGCATTGTGTTCCTGTATCACAGCATCCTGTATCACATTAGCAGTAACCAGTGTGACAAATTTACTTTTTACTCAGCTAACATTAGCTTTAGACTGGATGCTGCGTTTTGCAGTTCGTTGCAACCAGGCATCTGTAGTTTACGTCAAAGACGTGGTGGGAGTGGCAAAGAGCAGTTAGGATCGGTTTATGGTGTCAGTTTGTTTTGAGACTCACTAGACTGAAAGGAAATTAGGTAGAGTAGCTTTAAATAAAACGATATTTTTTTATGAAATCCACCTTCACATTGACTGTGTTTGTGAGGACCGGTTTCCCATAACGCTCCTCCATAATAATGAAAACTTATTATGGTCAGAGTCTCGGTTTGGAAATGGTTAGGTGTTGCAGAGATAACTGGTTGGGGTTTAGGTAAAGTTGGGGCTAATAATGAGACTGATATTATCTTTTGCACATGCATAAACAGAGATTTGGGATGTGGCTGCTCTGTGTTCAATGTTGGAAACCAGTTGTTGACAGGGACAGAGTTACTTATCCTCTCCTTTTCCTTTTCCTCTCCTCTGTTCTCCCTGCTAGCGTCAGAGCACAGTCAGTAGCTGCTTGACATTAATAACACAAATGATCTCGAAAACAGAGAGGAAATCAAGTCCAAGGCCTTATAAATAACAAACCAAGAAAAGGTCAATGAGAAAATGGATTCCTTTTTCTATTCTCATATATCTCTCTGACTTTACTCCCTATCACTTTCCTTTTATCTCAATCTCTCTGTCAGGCTTCTGGTGGTGCACTGGTTCAGAGGAAGAAAGAGAGGAGTTAACCACTGGTTTTCTGCCAGGTTTTGCTCCCGTTGACATATAATCCATGTTTAAAAAATGGCTCATCACTCAGTTGCTGGAGGGAAAGTAGAAGGAAAAAAGAGCCAGGCAGAAGATTACTTTCTCTGTAGGTGTGAGAGAAAGCTAAGGGTTCATATGGCCAAAGGTTTGTGGACACCTGAATGTTTACCCCATATGGTAAATGGACTGCAGTGCTATAGCGCTTTTCTACCATATAGTGCTTTCCTACCATCCCCGGGCAAAGCTCTTGACAGATTCACCCATCCACACACACACACTCACACACCAGCGGCTGATCATTTAATTTCAAAATCGTGAGCATTAATATGCCACTCAGACATCCTTCACTCTTCTGATTTCAGGCTTTCTACAAACTGTCAGGAACCTGGCTGCAGTGAGAGCCTGAATTTTTAAAAACCTGTCTGAGGCTTTGGTGCTGGGTTCCTTCTTGTGCTTGTAGTTTATAAACAGGGTCATTTCAGGTTTATTCCATTAAAAACAACAGACAACATTTCTCTGTGCTGTTTTGTATGGGAGTGAATTAATAGTCTATGAGACAGACAAGTACCCTAATTTTCAGTGAAGGAAGTCATTTTCTTTCATATGCAACCCTGTCTTAGAAAAACTGTTTCTATAACTAATGTCTTTTGCTAATTTGAGGAAAAATGTAATTGCTTCTTGGATTTTGTTCACTGGCAATGTTAGTTTCTTGTGAAGCTGCTACAGTTCTGTACCACACTGACCTTTTGACCACTTGAGAACAGCAGAAACAAACTGTAAATATAACATATTACCATATGAAACTGTTACAGTGAACGTGTTGATTTGATTTGATTTGATTTATTTATTCTTTCAAACATGTAACAACAATCAATATGTAACCACACATAATTCCACACATATCCACAATATATTTTCAATTTGCTTATACCTAGTACATGCTTGAACGGAGTAGGAAGAAGTTAGACTTATCTAGTCCTACCCTCTAACATCATCTTATCATCATTGGTTTGCAAGCAGTATTACTACATATATAATTTTGTTCTACATCCACACTCCCACCTGATTAATCATTAAGCCAGTTCTTGCTCATATCTTGATTGACACATACCTTTATATTTATGTTTAAACTCTTCAATTTTCTTACTGTTTTTTATGTCCACACTTAAATTATTCCATAGTTTTACCCCACTTATGGAAATACAGAATGTTGGTGACAGTGAACAACATTATCATTCGCATGGAGGCTTATTTAGCACCCAATTTAAATCCAGTAATTAGTCTCCTTTTAGGTGATTTTGGTCTGCAACAACTCCTAAGAAAAATATCTGCCTCTCTAGCTGCTGAAAGTTTTAGTATGTTCAGCAGCCAGTCGGTAACTTTATCTTGTCTGATGCTGGTAGAACAGTATAGGAACGACTGGCTGCTGCATCTGGGAACGACGCTATCAGAGAGGATCAAGTTATGAGCCCAAAACCCCAAATAAGCTAAATGTTACTAAAAAATCTCTGGTGATAATTCTCTGTGCAGTATATTGATAACAAGCAGTTTCAAATGCTATGACCAATGGTTTTCTATGGCTTTGTTATTTTCAAAACATCCCATAAAGACACCAAAACAAACAATGAATTTCATGCAGTCACTGCAAATTCTATGAATTTGGAACCTCCTTTAACAGATTTGCCTGTGCCGCAGACTTCATGTGTTGTCCAAAAACTATGCAAGACACACTAGTGAGCCACACCGCTGCACTGGGCAGCATCCTTGTTTGTCACAAAAATAGGAAGTCTGTATTTTTTCTAGAAGAGCTCCAGTGACTTCAATGCTATACATAACATCAGTGTCATGTGATTTTGGCTTTGTGTACTGTGTGTTAGGGAGTAGTAGTGCACATGTGAGCCTGTAAAGAGTAATGGCAGGTTTTAGCTTTGTCACACTGTGCAGAGGTGTGGCTCACTGGTGTCAGTCTTTGGACAACAGTGGAGGTCTATGGCGCAGACAAAGTTAAATCAGGTTTCAGATTCAAAGACATTATGGGCGAGTAGCTGAAATTCATTGTTGGCATGAGCACCGCAACAGGAAAGCCCTTTCGATGGCAACTGCAGCTAATAACAAAGATGACTGAAAGATACGTTTGTGGCGAGGTTTGCAAGAAGCAGTGTGACAAAATAAACAGCACTGAGTGTGTTATTATTTGATGTTTTTAGAATAGTAATTTTGTAGGTGTACAATATTTTAAAGGACTTAAATCTTTATTTTGTGTGAGCATAAATGTGTATTTTCATGTGCTACAGTACTAACATACCACAGTCTCAAGGTCAGAGTGTGTCACAGTGACCATATGTTCACCTTCTGTGCCAGAGACCTGAGGCTGAAAGCAGCTTACATCTTGTACTTTAGGTTCACATCAACCATCACATGCAAATAAGCACAAATTAACAGATGTTTATCAATGACACAATCAGCCGCAGCATTTCACTGCACCACTGGATGGCACTGCTCCTTCTTTCTCTGCATCTCGTCCTCCACTCCCTCCCTCCATCACTTTCTCTCTCGCCCTTTCCCTGCACCTCCTCATCTTGTGTAGGAGGAAGATTTGAATCGCCACAGAGCACAACGAGGATTACCAGATCAATATCGAAGACAATCTCTTTCTCCCATTTCTTTTCCTCGGTCTACCCCTCTATTTTCCTCTCCTCTCTTCCTCCGTCACTCACTTGCTCTCTCTGTTTAATTTAAGTGTACACCCTCTGCCCTTCAAGTCACTCATTGCTTCTGGGTGTTTCAGGAAAAAGATGGATTAGGACTGGGGGGACAGACAATCAGGCAAGGTGGAAGCCATAGGAATTCTATTTCTTCTCAGTCCAGAGATACTACTGATTCTCCATGACCCGCTTGCACACAGTCATAATATGGAATACTGTTAATTCATAACAGAACAGCAAACAGGCTGAGCTAAGGCTCAAGGAAAGTCGGCATAACCCATTTCATTCACGGACACAGATTCATAGCTGAGCGGCGGTGATAAAAACACCTACAGATATTTTTCTGTCCTCTCAAACAGACTGAGGCCTGAGGAGAGGAAGACCAAAATAACACACAGGTGCACAGATTCATACAGGTTTAAAATAACAAGAGGAACCGAAAA